GGGGGAATCAGGGAGCAGGGTCCTTGTCTTGCTCCAAGACAGTATCCCTTTGCCCCCATGTGGACAGAGAGTGATTGGAAACGCTGAATGGCTTCTGCAACCACCAACCACTGCTGTCACTGCCGTCCTTAGAGCTGGAACTGCTGCCACATCCAGAAGCCGAATCCCCACTACCTCCTTCTTGTTTTCTTTTTTTTTTTAATATGACACTATGATTTATTTAAGATGTATTATGATTTTTTTACAGTAAATATATTTTTCCAGAACTATGGGTCAAATTCAAGTAAAAAAATAAAGCCAGTTCATTCAAGGGGTTATTTACACAGGGCATGATTCATTATGTAGTGCACATAACTTAGGAAACAGTCTGTGGAAGGATTGGGAATCTCAGTACCAGTACTTTTGCAAAGTAATAGAAATGTTTGAGCAGATGAGCTTTTTTTTTTTTTAAAAAAAAAAAGGTTTTATTTATTCATGAGAAACACAGAGAGGCAGAGACACAGGCAGAAGAAGCAGGCTCCCTGCAAGGAGCCCGATGTGGGACTCGATCCAGGACCCCAGAATCATTCCCTGAATCATTCCCTGAATCAAAGGCAGACGCTCAACCCCTGAGCCACTCAGGCGTCCCCAGATGAGCTTTTTGATCATACTTGTTTTCTGATCGTGCCCTTACTCTCTCCTCCCCAACGGGCAGAGCCTAAACAGAACCTTGCTGCAAGGGATTCTGGGAAATGTAGTTTCCGCGCCTCCTGCTCCCGGGATGCAGGACAAAGCGCAAAGAGTTGATGATACGGAGCCCAGATAGCAGCATAATACTTGAGAAAATGTTATCACAGAATTTTAACTACTTAGGGACGACTGGGTGGCTCCGCGGTCGGGCGTCTGTCTTTGGCTCAGGGTGTGATCCTGGAGTCCTGGGATCCAGTCCCACGTCGGGCTCCAAGCACGGAGCCTGCTTCTCCCTCTGCCTGAGTCTCTGCCTCTTTCTCTCTCTCTCTCTCTCTCTCTCTCTGTCTCTCATGAATAAATAAATAAAATCTTAAAAAAAACTTTACTTAGATGTTTATTTTTCAGTTGTTAAGAAAACAAAAACTACTTATTTTAATATGAAATATGAAAAAAATCCTTTATGACACTTTCTCTTATGGGAGTGTGAAAAAGATAATTAGATTTATATTAAAGAATATTTTGTGGCTTTAAAGACTATGGGGGAGCATTTTATTCAAACAATTCAAAAGCAGCTGAACAAATTCATTGAAAGGATACCTCTTACTGCGCTTTACTATGTCATCTTTGAAAAGCTTGCCTGTATCCCCAGCTAATCCATTTACCTGAGGAACAGTTGGAGGATGCAAATTCTACTTTTTGGGAATTCCTATTTGACAATGGCTGCTACCTTTCTGTAGCAAAATGTTTTCCCTGGCAGTTGAATTGCCTGTTTGATTTCTGAGATTTGATACACTGTTATTCTTGTTGCATTTTTTAAAAAAATGTATTTATTTATTTGAGAGAGAGAGCATGAGCAGGCAGGAGAGGCAGAGGCAGAGGGAGAAGAAGACTCCCCACTGAGCAGGGAGCCCCACCCAGGTCTCACTCCCAGGACTGCAGGATCATGACCTGAGCTAAAGGCAGATCAGATGCTTAACCAACTGAGCCACCCAGGCACCCCTATTCTTGTTGCTGTCTTTTGGGTTTTTTTGTTTTTATTAAGTTTTTATTGTGATTCTAGTGTAGTTAACATACAGTGTTATGTTAGTTTCAGGTGTACAGTATAGTGATTCACCAGTTCCATGCATCACCCGGGGCTCATCACAAGTGCCCTCCTTCATCCCCATCACTTATTTCCTCCATCCTTCCTCCACCCACCTCCCCTCTGATAACTACCAGTCTATTCTCTATAGGTAAGAATTTGTTTCTTGGTTTCTCTCTCTTTTTTTAAAAAAAAAATGTTTCTTAAATTCCACATATGAGTAAAATCATATGGTATTTTACTGCTGACTCTGCTGACTTATTTTGCTTAGCATAATACTCTCTAGCTCCATCCATGTTGTTGCAAATGGCAAGATTTCATATTTTTATAGCTGAATAATATTCCCTTGTGTATATATACTACATATTTATCCATTCATCTATCGATAGATATTTGGGCAGCTTCTATAGTTTGGCTATTGCAAACAATGCTGCAATAACTTGTTTTGAATAGCGCTTTTTTTTTTTTTTGTATTTTTTAGGTAGATACCCCATAGTGTGATTACTGGATCACAAGGTAGTTCTATTTTTAACTTTTTGAGGAACCTCCATACTGTTTTCCACATCTGCATTCCCACCAACAGTGCAAGATGGTTTGTTTTTTTCCATATCCTTGCCAACACTTGTTTCTTGTGTTTTTTATTTTAGCCATTCTGACAGGTGTGAGGTGATATCTCATTGTAGTTTTGATTTGCATTTCCCCGGTGATGAGTGATATTGAGCATCTTTCCCTATGTCTTTTGGCCATCCTGTATCTCTTCTTTAGGGAAATGTCTATTCAGGATCCCTGGGTGGCTCAGTGGTTTAGCGCCTGCCTTCAGCCCAGGGTATGATCCTGGAGTTCTGGGATTGGGTCCCATGTCGGGCTCCCTGCGTGGAGCCTGCTTCTTCTTCTGCCTGTGTCTCTGCCTCTCTCTCTCTCTCTCTCTCTCTCTCTCTCTCTGTGTGTGTGTGTGTGTGTGTCTATCATGAATAAATCAAATCTTTTAAAAAAAGAAATGTCTGTTCATGTCTTCTGTTCATTTTTTAAAAAATTTATTTATTCGTGAAAGACACAAAAAGAGAGGCAGAAACATAAAAGAGGGAGAAGCAGGATCCCCGAGGGAAGCCCAACCTGGGATTTGATCCTAGGACCCCAGGGCCATGACCTAAGCCAAAGGCAGACACTCAACCACTGAGCCACCGAAAATGTGCATCCCCTGCTCATTTTCTAAGTTGGATTATTTGGTTTTGGGTTTTGAGTTCTGTAAATTCTCTGTATATCTTGGATACTAACTCTTCATTGGATATGTCATTTGCAAATATCTTCTTGCATTCTGTAGGTTGCCTTTTAGTTTTGTTGATTGTTTCTTTTGCTGTGCAGAAGCTTTTTATTTTGATGTAGTACCAATAGTTTATTTTTGCATTTATTTCCCTTGCCTCAGGAAACATATCTAGAAAATTGTTGCTATAGCCATTGTCAGAGAAATTACTGCCTGTGTTTTCTTCTAAGATTTTTATGGTTTCATGTCTCACATTTAGGTCCTTAATCATTTTGAGTTTATTTTTGTGTATGGTGTAAGAAAGCAGTCTAGTTTCATTCTTCTGTATGTGCCTACCCTCTAATTGCATTCTCTACATGTTTAATTCCAATGGGAAATTATTTCAGATAGTTAGTCATCTGCAAGTTTACTTAAAACTGTTGTGCCTTGAGAAACCAATATCTAAGTGGCTGTAAAACTCCTTTAACTCATCACAGTTACTACTACCATGTATATATGTTAATCTTTTTACTTTTTTAACCTCCATAAGTCTTCCCAGCAACTTTATGAGGTGGGCCAGCTACTCATGCTCCTGTTTTTTTTTTTTCCAGCTATATTAAGTGACAGATCACTAGCTGTAGAACCAAGCCAAATAAGTGTCACAGTTTGCTTATGAATGTGTATTTATGAATAATTTTCAAGCTGGGGTTGCTGTTTGGAGGCGTGCAAAGCCAATTACAGGGTGGAGGGCCTGGGTACTTTGAAGGGAATCCATTGTCAGGGCCTCAGTTCATGTGGTCTAAAATCCATCTGCTTGAGAATATGTGTGCATTGAGGATGCAGGTCCTTTTTCCTAATGTCCTTCTCCCACTTTGCTAAAGGAATGCTACCTCTCTCCTGTCCCACTATGGTGGACCGACCCGAGGTTCAAAAACCTGTGGGGAACCAAACAATGGGACAGTTTGGACTATTGGTTTGGGTATTAAGAACATAATGAAGAAAGCAAGTAAATAGCCCTAATGATTTGATTAAACAACTTTTTATTAAGTGTGGTGGTCTCCTTTTCCATCCTTGCAGCAAGAGTGTAGGAGAACTTAAATGGCCTGTTGGTTAATAGAAAAGTAAAAGTAATTTTGATGATAGATTGCTGTGCAAGTCTCAGCACATAACTGAGAAGGAGCCAGAGGAATTGAGTAACGTTGCTCTAATGAAACTTTCTCCATTCTTATTAATTAACTTATACAAACAAGTTTTCCTGGCACATAAATTTATAAAAATAAAAAAGGGAGTAGGATTGATGTTTACACTTAACTGGTTCTAGTAATAAACAATCTTTCTCTGCAGATTACATGAACTAGCTGGAAAACCCCAGGCTTTCTTAACATTCTTCTAGAAATACAGAGGTGCATTTCCCACAAAATGTTACTCCCATGCAGTAAATCTTTTTCAAAATTCATCATATTTCCTGTTTTCATCCGTTGTGGTCTAGTGACTATAATTATAACCCAATGAGAAAAGATGCAAATATTTAGAGACATTGTCACGGGGAAAATTTTTTAAAATTAAATGCCCATTTATAAACCCAATTTTTACGCAGAGAAGTATTTATTAACCTCACCATTAATGCAATACACATTAACACAAAACACAAAACATTCTCCACTTAGAATATTAAGATGTAAGTATGTGGGAATGAAAAGAAAAATTCAAAAAGGAAAAAAGATTGACTTCGGATTGAGACTATTGAACAGTTTGTTTTTCCAGTGTGACGATAGGTCGTCAATGGCTCTGATAGTTAGACTGTTGGATACAATGAATTACATCTTCGGCAGTCATTGAAACTGATGCAACGTTTATATATCTATATAAAAATAAGTATGTGATACATTTAAAAAATTTAAGGAATGTCTGGGCAAAAATGTTTAGTCATCACTGATCTGGACAGAAGATCAGGTGTCTTGAGGATAAGCACAGTCATGTGTCTCCCATGTATTTGCCTTGTTTTCCCAGTTTGACCTTGTGTGCATCAATGCTTGGATGCTGGACCTCACGCAAGCCGTCCTAAATCTGGGCTTCTTGGCTGGAGCCTTCACCTTGGGCTATGCAGCAGACAGGTAGGCACGGATAGGATAGCCATTGACAGCACGAGAACATGATGCAAACGTGTAGAGATGAAAATGTTTTATGTTAACCATTAGAAAACTATTTTTGCTAAACATGAAAAAAAATCTTAATTTCTCTACTTGTGACATTCATGCTTATTTGGTTAGACGAATCCTTGTTCAACTCCATCTCCTTACTCTTTGAACTGTATCAGTGGATGGGGCTGCTCCCAGTGGGCCTGAAGGCATCTGAGTGGAAACACACACCAGCAAGGCAGTCACTTCATTGTGCAAATGGCTGGCTGGCTGAATGCTGCAGAGTCAATTGCATGTGCTCCCATAGCTCACTGGTTGTGTCTGATTTAGTCAGACTCAGCCCTTTACAAATATGTTTCATTTAAATGTTTAAATTTAAAAAAAATTTTTTTTAATTTTTATTTATTTATGATAGTCACACAGGGAGAGAGAGAGAGAGAGAGAGGCAGAGACACAGGCAGAGGGAAAAGCAGGCTCCACGCACCGGGAGCCCGACGTGGGATTCGATCCCGGGTCTCCAGGATCGCGCCCTGGGCCAAAGACAGGCGCCAAACCACTGCGCCACCCAGGGATCCCTAAATGTTTAAATTTTTAAAAAAATAAATCATTGTATTTTATGTTACAAGTTAAAAACTCTGCAAAAAAAAGAGTTTTTCCAAAGACCATTAAAATTTTTTTACCTATTATTTAACATCCATAAATATACCAGCTAATGGGAGGCACAGTGAATATATATATTAAGGACAATCATGCTTTCTATTCAAATATGCCTGTTTTAAGCATTCTTGATGTTTGTTATTGTATTCATATTTAACTCTTCCTTTATACCAGTTTTAACTATGAAAACACATGCCATAATTTAATTATTGTTTCTAGACTCCTTAGGACAGGGGTAGGCAAGCCTTGGCCATTGACCGTGTCTGGCTGACGATCAGACAATCACTCTGGTCACTCTAGCCTAGCCTGGGTGAGTCCTTGTGACTGTGCTTGTGGTGCGCAGTGCAGAGGGTCCCTCTTGGAGAATGGCCCACTGCAATTAATTAGCTCATTGGAGGCAATTAAATGCCCCAAATGCTTTAGCCAATAGACAGTCGGAGTGTGGCCAGACTAGGATTTCAAAGTGAGTAGAACCTTTGGTTTCTTTTTCTGCTCCTTCATCTATCTTAGTTTTCTCTTGCAGCCCCCTGCCACCCTCCTCTGCATGGGCCTTTCTCCTTAATCCTTGTGTCCAATGCTCTTTCCCTATTATCCATGTCTTTTTCTGTGGCTTCTTCTTATACCCTTTCCCATTCGTCTTTCTTTTCTTAATCTCCGCACACATCACTTTCTCTCCTAGCCGGCTACGACTCGCAAGGGAGCCATGTATTTTCAACATGTATATATGATTTAAACATTAGGTTTAGCTGCTTCTGCATGTTTCTCACAAATAATAAACACATCTCCAAACAAAAGTAACTCAACTAAAGAAGGGAGGCTCTTCCTACCTGTGTCCTAGCAGGGGATCGAGTGGCTGTCCTCCGAGATGACTCAGTGCTCTAGAGAGGAAGACAGACCCATGAAGGATCCTGCCTCACTGCCAGGCCAGCCACTGTCAGCTCCTTCTCTCCTTTAAGTCTTTGCAGGAAAGGGCAAGAAACGATTTAATAGGCCATATATCTAGGAGAGGACAGTGTAGGAAGGATAGACAGTGAATTTTAAACCTAGATAAACCAGGACTACTTCTGTCTCCACTCCGCTGACCAGAGCAAGATGCTGCATGTGTGAATTTGGCAGGAATTTCTCTGGGAAAATGTTTTTGAATCACGACTCTTAAGGGTCATGGATGACAAACTTCCACCAGCCGCTAATTTGGCACAGCTATTGCGAACCATTTAACATCAGAATCCCAGAATATCACACACAATAATGTGTGTCCTTTGCCTGTGCTTTTAATAATAATCCTGTAAACAGTGAGGATAAAATGCAGAACTTAAGAACAGTTCACATTGATTGTGAACTTCATAGTTCATAAGGAGCTTTCACATCAGCATCTCATTTGAGTCTCTACAACCTCATTGTAGAAAGAGGTGGGGGGGGAATAACCCACAAGCAAACAAACAAAATATGAGTCTTAGATTAACAAAGAGAGGGACCTGAGATCGTATGGCTGGCTCATGGTTCAGCCAAGATTGAAGCCCGGGCCTGGGGCTTTCTCCCTTTCTCCTTCCCACTCCACTCGCAAAGATGCTATCAGATGTCAGAGCTGTGCCACCAAGGAAACTGTTTGTGATAGAGAGCATCATCTTTTTGAAAATCACATTTCCATTCTGTGCTTTACATTTTGTCATGTCGTTTCAGAGGCATATGCTCTTATTTTCCATGGTTTTGCTATAAAACAAAATGTAGAATTTCCAACAAACCTGTACCTGGTAGTAATGCCATCTTAAAAACAAAATTTGTATACTTAACCTCTCTTAACAATGCTTCTAATGATAGTCTTTCTCATTGTGTCAATGGAAGCGTTGAAGGTGACTTCTTCCTCTCTCTTTCTCAAAAAGGTACGGCCGACTAGTCATTTACCTAATATCCTGTTTCGGTGTTGGTGTCACCGGTGTTGTGGTGGCATTTGCACCAAATTTCCCTGTGTTTGTGGTCTTCCGCTTCCTACAAGGTGTGTTTGGAAAGGGGACATGGATGACCTGTTACGTGATTGGTAAGACATTGCTATGCCTTGTGTCTCTGTGATGCCAGGGGCAGGTGGTTGGGAGGGGCCAGCCAATCAGCCCTCCTCAGGCTCATATGCGGAGGCTTGGCGGCTGCCACAGTAAGGACCTCGGCAAATAGGAAGATGCAGGGGTGAAATTCTGACTCTCAGGAAATTAAAATGCCACTTTGTCAAATATGGGATATCACAAAGTACTTGGATGAACCACTTTCTAGTACTGCTATACTGCTAGCATGTTATTGCTTTGCTTTACCAGAGATTATTTTTTTAAGGTTTTATTTATTTATTCAAGAGGGAGACACAGAGAGAGGCAGAGACATAAGTAGAGGGAGAAGTAGAGGGAGAAGCTCCCCTGCGGGGAGCCTGATGCAGGACTCAATCCCAGGATGCTGGGATCAGGACCTGAGCCGAAGACAGACGCTCAACCATTGAGCCACCCAGGCATCCCTATCAGAGATTAATTTCTATAAAAATTTTAGCAGTTCCTTGTAACATTTTTAAAGCATTTTCTGTGTATTTCTGTGAAAGCGTTTGAGATGACATTCCTGTGTTCTCAAATATTATTTCTTAATTCTCCTTTTGTTCAAATGGAGAACTTTTTACCCTGAAGATCTGACCTACAAATGAGAATCTCATTTGTGAACCTCTGCTCTCTTCCATAACTAGAAAGTTTGACCTTCTAGGTATAAAAGAAAGAAAAACTTCAGGTTGCGCTTTGCTAATTTTACTGGGAAAAGTCCTGGCTGCTACTTTGGTTCTGTTTCTAGTGATGTCCAGCTACCTATTCTAAGGGTCATGGTGGATTTGTGAGCAGGAAGACACAATAGCACCTTTTTGATCATTGCTCCAGATTGTTAGGCTTCTAGTCCCTTCCATTACTCCTAGACAATCCCTCCCCCAAGCAGTGCCCACTTTGGGGACTCTTCAAAAATCCTTTTATGGGACAAGGAAGGAAAGAGTGCTGGAAGGTTGCCTGTCGCTGGCTGGCGCAGAAGGGATAACTTTAGAATATGAAGGAGATTTGAGTCTAGGTGAGTCTTCAAAGTTGTAATCTTAGGACACAACTAAGGTAGCATATCCCAGGATGATCGGAATAGAACTGATGACAAATAGAAATGGATGAATTTGGGGGGGCGGTGGGAGAAGGGGAGGGATGCCAGCAGTAAAATTCCCCATGTGATTTTTAAAGAAATATCACATAAATGGAAAGCCCAGCACTGTGGAAAAAAGAATCATCATTTGATGAAAACTGTGTTGTGATCTTGAAAAAATTATTTGTAGAATTATAATGTTCATAATTGCTCATAAATAATCTTTTATAATATGCAAATCTTTAGAGATACCATGATAGAAATCTAGCCAGCTTATTTTATTTCTGTGTTGATAAAATAGTCATCATTTAAGCTTTCTTAAAACCAACACATATGTTCTTTGTATACTTAGGAGGGTATTGGGCTGGGTGTGTGGGATGAACGTGGCATGTGCTTGCCGATAACTGGCAGAGAAGGGAGAGAGCAGAAAGCACGGCTCCAGCACGTATGGAAGCCTTCGTACCTTTAAGAGTTCTGTAGCATCCTAGCAATGCTGATGGATATGACAGATGTAACATCTCTCTGTTTGTTTATTTTGGAGCTGATCTTGAGCTTCCCTAACTTCTGTGTTTGTTTTCCTTCAGTAACAGAAATAGTAGGTTCAAAGCAAAGGAGAATTGTGGGAATAGTGGTCCAAATGTTCTTCACTCTTGGAATCATCATTCTCCCTGGAATTGCCTACTTTATCCCAAATTGGCAAGGGATTCAGCTAGCCATAACGCTGCCCAGCTTTCTCTTCCTCCTTTATTACTGGTAAAGTGGTTTTGATCATTATTGAATTTATTCTTATTCCACAGAAATGTAGAATCTGCGCTTTTAAACCACTATGAAAGTGAAAGCAACTACAGAGATTTCCTGACATCTCCAGAGTGACTATGGGCTTTGGGAATTTCTAGAGAATTTGAGAATTTATAGAGATTATTATTTGACTAATTGTCGTAATTAAAATAAATTAATAAAGTACCTAAACATAAAATTCTAAATAGAGTATTAATTATGCTTTGTTATTTTATAGTATCTTCATGAACCCTTTAAGGCAACAAACCATATCTGCCAATATTTCAACTTGCAAATTAAATGCAATGAGATCTGTTTGCTTTTCTGTGTGTTCTATTAAGCAAATTAATATTATTCAGGAGTCTTCTGAGGAATAAGAAAATGTTAAGAGCATGAGAAAATTAAGTTATCAGAAAGCTACAGGTTATATGCATTTGACTCATACTGAAGTCAATGTATTTTGATCATTTCTCTAATTTAATTTTAATATATGGGGAAATCAGCTTACATGAATTGAGTTTCACTTCTTCCTAAATGCTCATTAAATCCCAGTTCTTTTCATATGTGTAATCAAGGACACTATGCTCTAGGACAGCCTGGTCTTACAAGAGCAATGTAATATTGGTTATTTTTATTAGGACCAGTGACCTAGTTATCAAGTGAGCATTTTTTCCTTCCATTATAAATTTTCTGAGATAATCTGTGTTTCAGAGAGCATATTCTAAACTCTCAGAATCCCCTAAACTTGTACCTACTTGCTGGATCTATTTTGATAGAGAAACTCAAGTCATTAATTTTTAGCTTTTGAAATTACCAAACATAACTCAAAAAAGTCTTCTTCTTGCCAGGGTGGTTCCTGAGTCTCCCCGCTGGCTGATTACTCGGAAGAAAGGGGATAAAGCCTTAAAAATTCTGAGGAGCATTGCCAAATGCAATGGGAAATATCTGTCACCAAATTACTCGGAGGTAATCTTATTTGTTACTAGTAACAAGCATTGTTAAAGTGGATGAATTAATTTGTCTCTTATGCACATATTATTGAGCAGCTGACTTAATCATTTTAGTTTGGCTTTTAAAAAGGAAAAAAAGAAAAACCCTTGGGAAGAATCACAAGGTGCATTAAAGAAGACATGGTTGTGGAGTTGTGATAACAAGAGTTGAGGTCAACTGGTAGCTTGGTCCATGTGTCAATAGTTGTATCATGTTACTTGAATTATTATACTTACTATAACTCCATACTATAAAGTTATTCATTCATCTTAAGTCACACAAACTATAAATCTTCTCTTGACATTCAGTGTAGTCTGAAGATTTGTCTTTAAATGTAGTCTTGGAATACTATTTATTTGAATGAGAGTGTGAGCAATAATGTAATATTCAGCCTTTAGACTTACAGGTGCTGCTGGACTACCTTCCCCCTGTCCCTTATTTTCTTCCTCCATTTTTTTTTATTTTTTTCCAGCAAAGGCTTTTTGGGTGTTTCTGTGTCATTACACTAAGATAAATGGTGGAGACTCATTCTTTGCTCTTTGGAAGATTTGCTATGCCTTTGAAAACATACAGATATATTTGAGATAACAACCAAATAATTAGAGAAAATATATAAAGATATATGGCAATGCTTTACTGCGAAGACTAAGTGAAGGTGGAATGACAGAAGGCTTATTATAAAAGGAATATTAGAGAAGAATTTTTCAGAAGATATAAATCTTTGATATAAACCTTGAAGAATATTAGGTTGCTAACATCGATTTTTTTTGTAGCCCTTAGTTGGTTTTGATAGAACGTTCTGATAAAAAAAAAAAAGCTTTGTTAGTTTTAATGTCATGTCCCCAACCTCAGAGATACTTGGATTTCTACCTTTTTCCTTCATGCTTACATTCAGCAGCAAGCAGTAGCCTCTGTGATCATAGAGGTTTCAACTGACCAATCAACATTGGATTATGATGTTGTACCTAGGGGTGTACAGATCATACACTATGTGATAAAGATAAAACATGATCTATTTTAACCATGAAGATGAGTCAATCCTTGTTTTCCTTTGGGTACATTTGGGCTATGGATTCCTTTTAGGGAAAAAATACCCTGCTGCCCTCTCCCCTTGCTTTCATTACATTAACCTTTGTCTTTGCAAACTGGATCGAATGTATGATAATCTTCCCTCAGTTTTAATAGTCCAATAAATATATTTGTTCTTCGTTCAGCAGTATCCTGAAGATGTTGTATGTGTAGCTAAGCATATGGCAGATCTACATCAAAGTTTTAAAAATAGAGAAAAAAACAGTGTGTGCCGATGGCTTGTGAAGAAAAATGCCACTTAACTAGGCATGCGGTGTGTTATCATGAGTACTGCTGAAAGGCCACGGGATGATTCCCAGAAGCAGCTGCTTTTACATGTCCCATGGTGTCCAGTTCAGCGCTGCTCCTGTAGACCCACTGAGCCACTTCCAATTCATGAGCACTCTAGAGACATTTCAAAGGGGAAGTAGTTTAATGCTCTACATGGTAGTGCTTGTAAAGGATCATGGATGGTGGATCCAGTGGCTTCCAAGACATGTTAGCTCTGGTTTTAAGCAGTTAGATGATCCCCATTTGAAACTCAAGTTTGAAGTCAGACGTGAGCTTCTCACAGGAGGTTAGCGCCCTCGCCACCACTGTCCAGTGATGATTGCACATTGTGATTGGCTGATAAGCTTTTTCGGTCTTTAGTCTGTGAGTTCCTGTTCTTTTCTTTTTCTTGCAACCTTGGTAGTAAAGAATACTAAGGTTTCTTTCTGTCTTTTGTTTCTGTAGACTTTTCTGCAGTCTAACTTTGGTTGATTACATCCTTAGGATCCTTTAATACGAATGACCCTCTGTCTCTTGTATTATTCCCTATCAATTGGGAGGTAGATCTAGAGCTAAATCCGGCTTACGACTGATACTTCTGGTGATCCTACTTCGTAACTGACTTAATACATTTCCATTAAGAGACACCTTGTGTCTGCCCATCTCTTCTTTTGTAGTGTTAGCTGCCACAGATCACCGTTGCCTGTGTTTATTAATTCATCAGAGGCTTAAATGACAATATTCCCATTTTATCATGATTTGTTCATTTATTAGTGGAATACTTCCATAAAGACTTCTCCCATCAGTTGTTTGCTGACTCTGAGATACAGTTCTTATAGGCGAGGCAAGATACTTGTGTAATTCTTTCTTTCCAAAGTAATGAGTTGATTCCCTGCATTCTCCAAAAGCAATCAATGAATTCTATGCTGTGGGGGGTTTGAAGCCTCATTATGAACTCGTGGATTTACACCTACCTCCTATGACTCAGTCTTTCACAGTTTTTGTAATTTCTTTGTTGGTACTCAAATTGCCCCATCTTTGGACCAATAAGGCTCATCTTTGCTGATTCCAGGGTCTCTCTGCCACGTCCCAAGGAGTTCCAGAATGCTTCTTTGCTTATTAGCATGAGGAGATTTTCCAGGCTCATCTCACAGGATCCCACTCTTAGAATCATCTACTTCTCAAAGGGTGCTTTAAGTTTTTAAACACATGTCTTCAGACTGAACCCATCCATCTCCAACCTTTTAAAATGGTATGATGTAAGTAGAAAAGCAAACCTTATGTTTACATAGTCACTTTAAATCTGCGTTCTTTTGCTGGCTTAGCTGGCACCCCCGCTTTCTGGGTATAACCCCAAGGACCCATGCCCATGCTGATTGCCCAGTGCTCTGCTTTCACTTTTCATAGAAGCCCTTTGCAGTAAATCCTGACTTTTGGAAGAAGTTATTATCATGTAAATTACTCCATCCTCTAAGACTTGTCCAATTCCCACCTCACCCTAAGGGTTCACATCATAGATTGCAGTAAAGCTAGAATGAATTGGAAAGGATCTGCCTAATGCACAGCAGCCCTAAGAGGCCTGGCAGTGATGCTGTCTTCCTGTCTTCCTTAGCCACCTCCCAACCTCATCCTATTCCATCACTGTCATGAGAGATCCTGGTCTATTTTAGGAGGGTCAAAAGACCTAGCTTAAAATAATACTCTATATTATGGAAGATAGCCTAAATTCACCACAAACTAGGTTTATACAAATCCCCTGAACTTTGTGAATAGAAGGAGGATATGGGAAGAAATAGTTATGGTGGATTTAATTTGCAACATTCAATGAGGTAGATTATTCTGAGGATTGGTTATCCAGTAAATAATCTCAGTTTTATTTCACATGGATGTTACTCGTTTCATGAGCAAATAAACTGTGGCTCTCTGTATTACTGGTCCCTAGGCTTCCCAGCTAGCTTCTGACTTTGTTGAAGCCACAGCTAGAAGCTAGAAATACAACTGATGAGAATGTAAGGCTCTCTGAATATACCAATAGTCTATTATTCACTGTTAAGAAAAGTCCAAAAATATAAAACCAATACAAATGAGGCAAGTGGGTGGAACTTATAGGAAGTTGAAAAAATTTAGAAAATGGAAAGAATCTAAGTATATAGAAACTGGAGAGAATCATGGATGGGCTGAGTGTGAAACACAAGGCAGTGACCCAATGCAGAAGGACAATTAGCTCAGACATATACACAGGTGCCTTCACAAAGTTTAAGGCACACTTGAAAAAATAAAATCAAACTATTGGCAAGTCTACAGTCATTACAGCCCAGGCACAACATAGCACAGTAATGTGTCCTGTTGTCTACAGAGCATCCACAGTTGTCCTCTGACCTGGAGAGTGTGTCAGTGATAGAACTGTTTCCTGCCCTGGCCATCCCCTTAGTTTTGTTCATAAGGCAAGGTTCTCAAATGTTGCAGTTAAATTTTTCTTTGGCATCAGCCTGACGTTACTTCCTACCTGTTACTTGTAGTGTGCTATTTCTTTCCTTACACCTAATAAGTTACCAATCAATCCAACTCTCCATGCTCATCCAGTAGGTACATACTGGTACTGTGTGTATGATTGCACGATGCACTGGGTGGCAACGCTGGTCTGAAGAGATAGCCATTGCCCTAAAAACTAAATTTGTGTTTGTCAAAATAGATGAGAAAGTGGGCAAGTGTTTAAGAGTGCTTAGGCTTTTGATAGTAGTAGACTAGGTCTATTGGTAAGTAGTGGAGAGCTGGGATTGTTGCTCAGTGACCATTTCTTATCACAAAGTGGTACCATCTGTGACAGATGCCACTGCAATAAATAGATTTCCAGCTCCTTGCCCCTCTCTGTAAAAGGATTCCACATTCCCACGCGTGGCTGTAGGACTTGCAGCAGCGCGCCTCTGCAGGCAGATATATTTCCCCACTGAGTCAGGTTCAACTATCTGACTTGATGGCTCAAGGTACCTGTTCAGAGCAGAAGTTGTAAAGGCATCATGCATTCCTGACAGCTCTCTTGCCCTTTCCATCTGCCACAAGAACAGCATATCCTAAATTGGTGTTGTTCCTTCAGCGTGGGTCTCAGAATGAGAAGAGCCACAACTTGGAACAGAGCTGCAGAAAGCTGTCCTGTAGCTGCCACATGGAATGTGGCCAAGAAATAACTATTTCCTCGGGAAACTATGGTCTGGTCTGCTAAGTGCGTCCCAGTGTGCTGCAGAGATTTGAGGGTGTTTGTTTTTGTGGCCAAAGTTAACCAGTATAGCTGATCATAGTGGCATTGTTTCAATTGCCAGGATAGGGTTTAGTGATTCAACATATATTTGGTTATTGAGGTGACAGAAGAATGTGGTAGTTTAGGTCATTGTTTGAAATATTCATGTCCTCCTCTTTTCCATTGGATGAAAATCCTCCCTGGGTCCATTGATATTAGACATGCCAATGTAACTTGCTTTGGTCTCGTGGTAGGTAGAATGTATATCCTGCCCTTTGACTTTGAACTTGACCATGTGAGTTGGTAGGTAACCATCTGAGGTGATGCAGTAGAATCTTGAAATGTGTTTCTATGGTTGGGCTTGCTCTTTGCACTTCAGCCATCACCATGAGAAGAATATTCC